GAACCGCTCGTTTTTCATCCGGATTAGCAGCGTTGAGGGCGTTTCATACAACCATTACCTGTACCCGGCCACGGCAGATCGCTTCCCGCAGCCTGTCTCGAGATCCGACAAACGGAAGGGTACCAGTTAGCAGAACGTGGAGCAATACTCCGGCCGACCAGACATCACCGGGTTTCCCATATTGTCGCCGCTGAATAACTTCCGGCGCCATGAAGTGCGGACATCCGACACGACCTGCGCGACCAAGAGCATCGTGAGCAAAAAGAGATAAAATTGCCAAGATGTGACCAGCAAAATGGAAGCGAGGCGTGAGTGATTGCTCGGAAACTTCGCAGTCGATCGTTAACGTAAAACGGAATTGCGCTTGCGATAAATACAAACAAATTTGTCAGTCAAATAAAACATTTGCGTTTGATTTTCTTTTCATTTCGCAGCTATAAGAACATATAAAACCAATAATCGGCAGCTTTCTCTCGTCCAAATTCATCACTCGCCTCGTAGGGAGTAGATTCGAAAAGTATATTTTCGTTTACTTATTATCGTCGGATCGACTGGACGTATCAAGTGTAATTAATGGCAAGGGACGAACGTGTCAGACGCAAAGGCTACTGCATTCCTCGAAAACAAATACACTTGTCACAAAAGTAGCCGATCTCTCGTAAGATATGAGCACAAACGTCGTTTGCGAACGATAACCAACGTGCTAACTTGCTTACTTTTTTCAACAATCTATATTTATTAAGAATCAGTAAATGACACAGAAAGCGGCACGAGAGGAAATGTAGGTCACTGCACGTTGGAAAGTGTACATGGGAAAAGATGAGATGATTAAGGCTGTAAAGCAAAGACGACATAATTGCGATCGCGAGTACATCGTTAAACACTAGAAAAATTATCATCAAATTATCGCGCGTATAACTTTTTATATATAAAAAATATATTATAATATGGTACATAATTATATGAATAGTTATCATACATAAAACGTGGTTTTCTTTCTCTGAAAAATAGTAAAATGTATAATAATAAGTATAGGTAATAAACAACATGTAAAACATTAAAAATATATCTGTACATTTCACATATGTTCAGCTGGATTATATACTCTATATAATCTATTCCTATGTATAGATATACATAACTATTCTATCTATAAAATATACTCTCAGCTATATTTTATCTAAATCTTTTTGTTGATATATGAAAAATACATATTGTGCTAATACGTATTTTATAAATATTTATATCTATTTATATATATTTTGAACAAATTCTATTCATTATAGAAACGAAAATATATTTTTATCACGTGTTTCTCCGTTTTATAAGATATATAAGATAAATTAAGAAATACCAATATATACCAATATAATGTAATCTATATTTCTTACTTTTATGATAATGATTCAATTTTTAAAATAATTGTGTAGTATAAAGAAATATAGAGAAGAACTGAAATAATAATTATATATATTAATTTTTATAAAAAGTAACTAATTTTATACACAAAATAGTTTTGTTGTGTTAATTATGACATTGTCGCCGTCTTCTTTCGTTAACTCTTATATACATTTAATGAAGCAAATAATTTAAACTATAGACATTATTTAATATATAATAGATCCTGAAGAAAATATAGTTTTTTATCCCTGTATATAACATAATATATAAAAAGATAAAACACATCACGCAGCATTTTGTGAATCAACAAACGATATAAATGGTGCTGGAGTGCAACGAAAATTGATGCAATTGATTATTTAAAGAGAACCCAATAAATGAAAACAATTTTAATACTACAGAAATAGAAACCTAAAATGTATCTAATATCAAACTGTAACAGTGCCATAACAGTGCCAAACTACATATACATTTAGAAATAAAAGTTTTCATGCTATTTTAACAGCAAGCATGCACAATATTATTTAATATCAGAATATAAATTCAATAATGAACAATATATATTTTATAAAACTAATGAAAAATATAACCATTAATAAAAATATTTTTAAGTGTTTTTGCAGCTTTGCTACCGCTTGTTGTCGCGTAATTTTACTTACTCATTTTTTAATAAAAATAATGAGAGTCGCACAAATAAAGCGACGAGTTAATAACAAGATATGCATTTTACCCACCAAATATATTTTATATGTACAGAATGATGTACGAGAATGGCCTGGAAAATTTCTGCCATATGCGGAAAAGTTTATTTTGAGTAAAACATACTAACATATAAATATACGCGCAATTTATTAAATCAAAATTGCGGAATTGAAAATATTAATTGCGCAAATGTTGTAATAATATACATAAAAATAGAAAATAAAATAACATTTTATTTTACTTGTTGAAAAAATCCAAATTTCTTATATCAACAACTTGTTTCCGTCAATGCAATAGTTGATAATTGTATAATTTATATCTCCCCTAGTCTCAATATACATTTTTCCCGAATTTGTTGCATGATTTATTACAATAACTATTATAGCAATATAATATCACTATAAATTTAATCCCCTCCTCCCCTAGCTTTCAGCAAAAAGTAAGTTCAGGAACAAATCTACGACACCCCATTTTTCAATAAATAAACAAAATTTATGAATAAATTTTTGTAAAACATTTACTTTAACATAATATTTATACAGAACATAATGTTTATATAAAACATTTCAAAATTATCTGGTGGTACTTTAGAAGCAGATTATTTTTCTCTAATAAAAATATCAAAGCACTTACAAGTACTTGCAATTAATTAAAAAAAATATTTGAGTTTTCAGAGAAAAATTAAACTTGAAAAGTATATAATTGGCAAATATTTAATATTGAAAATAATATAAAAAAACTAAATTTTCGTCAATATTTGATTTCGAAATATTGGTTAATTTTTGAATACTCTGTATATATCTCTGTATATTTCTGAAAGTTTTCCGTTCCATTTATAAGTCAATCTATATAAGGAAATTATAAGTTAAATTATCAAATTGTTATTTCACACTTATATTATTATAGCTATGTCTCGTCTTTTTATGAAATAAAGTCCAGAATCAAATCATACTTAATGTGATAAAATATCACTGATTTGATGTTATTGAATTAATATTAATGTGTCACTGAGCTCTGTCTTTAATTAAAAGAACGAAGAAGGTTACATTTTTGTGCAACGTTGCGAATAAAGTATCTTGTTTCATTAGACACGTGATACGTAATAAATACGCGGTAACGTTGCACACTTGTCACTCCAGATTATCGAGTTTCATGAAAAAAGAGATCGTTAAGACGATGCTATTCATAACATAAATTCTTCATTAAGAAATAGATGTGACATTTTCGTTACAATTTGCTCTTCTGTCACAATGATACAAAGAATGATGGCATAAAATATCTATTTAAAATCATGCAAAGTGTTATATATCGTAATATTGCGGCAAAATTAATTCATTTTTATATTAGCAATTCCAAATATATTTTATAATAATTAAGATTTGTACATATCTAAATACCCTGATCTATTTTAACACGCGATGTATCTGTTCGATGAAAATGCTGTTTCGATTCCATCGCGTTTGTCTTTCTCGCTGTAAACACATTTCACAGACACTCGCAACAAAATAGTCTTGATCTCTCTCTGACGCGGCGACTAGTTTCAATTTGTCATTGATAAGTGATGAAAGACAAATACAAAGCGGCATACAAATAGACAGACACACACATAGATACACAGGCTAGTCTACCGCTACGAACAATAACGACATAGACAAGCCCAAATTATGCGGGCAATTAGTCCACGTAACCAGATTCAAATAAAGGTAAACCGATTTGAAGGGTTTATTACGCGAAACCAAAATAATTATTATTACAAATACAAAAAAATTATGTCGAAATTAAGACAACAGAACCTTCCGCTCGGAAAGGATAACTGTTCATTATATTGTAATGATAGATTCATAATTATAATATATAATATTTATTGATTATATAATATTAATAAATATTTTATATCTTACAATTAGTATAAATCTTAGTGCTGTGTCATCTATATAGAAAATCGTGTTATTTATTTACGTATATCATATAAAATGAAATAAAAATAACTCGAATATTTACATTTTGTTCTCTCTATTGTTTTCATTGAAATATACTATTGATTTTTTAAAATTTTACATCCTCTTTTTTAGACGTATACATATGAATATATATGTTATTTAAAATAATTGGGCCACTATTTAAAATGTGTATTCATTGTATTCACATTGTGAATCTAATAAATTCAAGTAACTTAATTTGAATGCATTATGAATAAATTAGCCACAAAGAAAATTTAATTTAAAAAATTTAGCAAATTTAATTATAGCGAATAATATGCTCGTGTTCATTTTTTACATTCTCAACATTTTATTTTCTCCTTCTTTTGAAACAATACTAACTCGAAATTCAATACTAAAGATTAAATTAATCGAGATAACGATTTTTAATCTTCAGTAAATCCAGAAAAACCGGAAATGACGAAGGAATGAATCTTGGATAATCTTTTTAAATATTTTTTATTAAAACCATATGCCAAAAAGCGACACTCCATATAAAGACGTATTTTTCGTTCAGTGTTGATGAAATAAAATAATGAAACGACAAGTCTCATAACGAACCCTTCAATTCTGTCAGAAATTTATCCCAATCCTACAAGGATGAAGCAGAGCTTGTGTCATTCGCGCGTTACAAAATCAGACACGCGGACGACGGAAGGGGTGGAAATAGAGAAAAGAGGAGGGAGTCGCTTTGTCACTCGCTTCCTCTCGATGGCACAACGAATATCTGTCACTACGCGACCTGCACAACGATATCACAGGAATACGCTATCGCACGTAGGTCGAGTGTCTATACAGACATTCTCAAACTAACATAACCATACCACACGTGGGGGGTAGAACGTCGACTATGCCTCAAGTGAGAGTAACCCCAAAACGAGACTGATCGATCGTTCGATAATCACAGATTGCTACGCATTCGTGTGCATGCTTCGCGAAAATAAACTTTATATCATTTCCTGCTTATATATACTACCGTTGTTTTGCCAGACTCCGATAATCACAGATTGCTACGCATTCGTGTGCATGCTTCGCGAAAATAAACTTTATATCATTTCCTGCTGAGATATACTACCGTTGTTTTGCCAGACTCGAACTTACCACGTGAATCTTGTCTTTCCTATATATACAGGATACTCCACATAAAATAATTCCATCGCAAGTTTTAACGGTAGTAAAAAATGTTACAATTAAAAACAAAATCACATTTAGAAAATATAAATTTTAATGTATAACATCCTTGATTTTTATCAAAACACTTTTATTTATTTTAATATTTCTCTTATCCCCAATCTTTCAAAATACGTAAGCAAAGCATGTTATATGGAACACCCTGTACATGTCTGGCCTTGTCGTTGATAGAAACTTTCAATAGTACTTTACGATCTCAGTTATATAAAAAGCCACTACATTCAAGGACGCGTAAAGAGAGATAAGTCCTTTTTAGAAGCTGCAATACTTTTTCGTTTCTACCCCCGGTTGTGGTAAATCATAAGTTATGTAGATGTGTCAGGCATATGGATACCGATATTGTCCTCCGTGTCGCTCGCTAGCGAATCCTCGGCGTCGGTCAGGTCCTCAAAAGGAAAATTGCAGCTCGGGGAGATCAGGCCTATCGAAAGAACACAGAGAGAAAGGAAAAGGATTGTTATCGTCACGATAATTTCGCGCTATGCGCGATTTATTTTCACGGACGATAAAATGCTCTTTTATCGTCAACGCCGTTATCCGTAGAGGAAGACAGACCTGTGGCTGTTGGGTGGTTTGTTGCTTTTATCAAAGAATCGAATTCGAGTAGATCAAAGTGCGAGAGATCGACCGGCTCACTTATTGATTGACTCTCGACTCGATTCTCTAGTCTCTAGTGGTATGTGTGCGTCTATTGGTATGTAAGATGTTGAGCTTGTATGAGTTTATTTGTATCGTACGGTATATATATGTATATCAGATTAAATAATCTTCATATAATCCTGTTAATATACAAAGTTTGTTGGAATTAACTTGTTTTAATTTGTAAAACAAAGAATAAATTTTTTCTTGCAACATTTTATCAGTTAATCGCCCGCATTTCCATAGAAACCAGATTATCCTAATATAGAAAAATATATGCTACAAAATGAGTTCTTAATAATAATCCTTAAGAATGGGGCTGTAATATTGATATAAATACGCAATTACCGTTCTTCAGCGCAAATGAATCATTACTAACAATGAGAGATAATAGATACGAAATTATAATTAATCCTACTTTCAGATATATTGTTAAAGAATCATTTCTAAGCCAATTTTTGATACTTAATAAATATTGCATATAGTCCGCGAGAACGACATTCTTTAATAAATTTAAAATCATATACATCCGAGGAAATGTATATATATGTAAATATTAATGTATTAGCTAAGTCGTATATATATATATATATATATATATTACGTAGAAAGATATCGCCTACACATAGATGTGAATTATCGTTATTTACGCGCAAACATGTCCAACATCGATATCGTCGCAGTAGTTGTAAGCGATACTCGTCGGTCCAGCGGAGCGAGTAGGTGTTAATAAACGCGCGACACTCTCCTGCTTTTATCTGCCTCTCATTAAACGCTGGCGCACGATGACTCGCGCTTAATTGCGCGAGTCTACTCAAATTGTTCGCATCATCATTAGGGCGGCCGGGCAATTACTCGGGGAGATCGTTAACCGCGCCTATATACCGGGCCCCGATCTCCGAACGCGTTTCTGGCCTGCATCTTCGGCACATTTTTTTCGACGTTCGAACCCGACATTCTGGATATTCCCAGGGTGTATATCCTTTCAAAGATGACGAATCATCATCGTGCCGATCGCCACCAGAACTGCTTACAGCGTGATTCACGCACACGTTCGTCGCTTTCCCCCC